CCCTTTTTTTCCTTTTTAAGTTACTCTTTAAATGCTGGAAAGCAACATTAATTTGTTATGACAAAAATATTTGTTAGTAATTTTTTGAATCGATCTCCTCTATTAAGGACATGCAGATGAATAAGAGGACAGAAACAGAAGTACTATGAAAATTCCCCAGGAGCAGGGAAAGAAAAAAGTGATTCGTGAGTTTTATTTAGACTTATAACTGCAAGAGGGAAGTATAGGGCACCTGTGAGCACCACTGCTAGATAAAAACAAAGTAAGTGCTCATATGGCAGCTTACTGAAGACAAGGCCCTGGTGCTGCTTGGCTCTGAGTGAGCACGCTCCAGTGACGAAGCAGAAATGGAGTCCTTTTTGGCAGTCTGACAGCAAGCCTTAGTATCACTGCTATCCAAAAAAATGCCAAATCCCCCAAAACAGCTATCAGTGCGAACAGCAAAGGAGCATCCAAAGAATCAGTGTTAAGAGTGTGTTAAGAATGTGATTGCTTTCAGCTCAGATGTATGAAGCTTAGAGAAAAATAATTAAGTTAATTTGACAATCACTCTGCAGACAGGATTTGGGATGAATCTGCAGCCAACACCCTATTCTGAATTAATGCCACGTAAGAGGAATCAGCCTGTACCTCTCAATCCTCTCAGATTACAATTGCCAGAGACTCTATCTCCACAGGATGGTGCGACGATATTTATCGGAGACTCAAAAACAGATCCCTGAGAGTTCAGAGTACTAGGTTCAAGTCCTGTTCAGAAAAAAACTCTTTCACAGATGAAAAAAACAAACACTGAATTTTCTTTAAGGCCATTGTTAAAAAATCCAGAAGATCAATATTGCTACTAAAATATTTTTGGCTCAAGTGTAGGAGATGTTACACTCCTTTATAGCTAACACACAGCTCAAGGACCCAGTAGAGGAGGAAAAAAGAGAGACCTGAAGGAAAAGAAAATTAAGAACACTTATCAGAAAAGCATATCTCACAGCCTTTCCTGTTGTTTATAAGAACAATTAAGTATTAGGTCTGCTCTAGCAGTTAATATCCAGCAACCACACACCAAGACAGAATATGTCAATCTTGAATTAGCGTGGAGTTCTGGACAGTGTTGCCTGGACAAGGTAGAAAGGAAAGGCCAGAAAGAGTTCTCAGTTGTAACCAAAACCTAACGCCCCTGGTCGGTCCAAAGTGACTTCTACTGCCTCACTTAAGACTTATCTTCATAACCAAGAAGCAAAAAGATGGCCTACTGTGAAACCAAGAATGCATGTTCAAACAGCAAGTTGTTAGATAGCAAAAAGCAGGCACCAGCAAAAAACTTCGTAGACCTACAGATCTAGTTTGGGTTCTCTCTTGCTCTTGAAGATGATTGTCCAGACAGCATACCGGAACTTTCCCTAACACCTCAGGTGATGAACCGTTGCCATCCAGACACATCCAGGGAAACAGCAAGAACAATGAATGATGTCAGTTCTCTGTGTTACAGCTCCAGAGGACAACTCCTTTGACAAGGACAAGAGGATCCTGTGATGCCATCTGCCTAAGTAATACATGGTCCAACGTTATACAGGCATGAAGGCCTCCAGCAGCTGGCAAAATTTGGTAACAGATACTTCCCAAAGCTCTGGGCTCGATAACAGAAGTGTTAAGCTTCTGTTTCTGAGCAGAATAAATATTTTGGGCTGTCAAGACAATGGACTCTGTACACGAGGAAGCACAACAGATCTCCCTATGAGAGGGAAATGGAAGGGAATCCCCTTGGCTGGTAAAGCAGAAGAGCAATATGGTCCAGCAGGCAGAAGGTTAATGTCTAAATTACAGGTTGCTCAGCTGCTCCCTTCATCAGAAACAATAATTTCTTACAATGCAGGGAAAGATCTGACCATCTGACCCAAATACATGGGTATCTCTGGCTAAAGGAGGAAAGCAGGAGCTGAAGTCTGCTTTCAAATGTATTTTCAGCCATACAACCTAGTTGCTGTTACACAGGGAGGGTAAACTGAAGCAGATCTCGCACTGAAGGAAAATTACCTTAAAGCAAACTATTCTGCAAGTTCTTGCTTCTACTTTTTAACATTTTAACCCTCTCCATTGTTGTTCTACTCATCTTAGATGAGGAAACACACCATAAGCTCTGACAGGACTGACGTTTCACGTCAAGTGAAACCTAACTAAAATGGAAAAAAACAGGGACCCAGACAAATATGACTGCTGCCAGCATGTAAGTAAAATACAATCTCAGACTTAAGGGCTAGCAGAAACAAAACAAAAAACCTCCCACCTTATATTTTCAGTGTTCACAAACTACAAATTCAAGACTCCACTCTTAACAGAAGGAAAAAGAGACGTCACGGAGAGTTCTGCAGAGCACTCTGAAATAATAATTTGCTAAAATACAGGCAAGCTGCCCAGGGAAATAGGCATGTATTTGTACTAATCAGGAATCATTACAGCTGAATAGAATACTATCAGTTCTCGAAATTATGAAGTGCTTCATTTTTACACAAAGCCACAATTCAGAGATTACTAAAACTCACTGTGTGAATGCAGAAGAGTTCTCAAAACTTAAAGCAAACTTAAGAAAAAGATCCAAAGATATTTCAAAAATACATTGACTAGATCAATAGAAATATATAATGAATAATAACATATACACTGGTATAGTTCAATTTAAAGCTTAGACCACTATAGGTAATATTAGAGCAAAGGTAGGAAGTTTACATTCTGGTGGACAGACTCACTTAGGGAATGTAAAATATCACCAGATACACACATCTCATTAATATCCTACAGATAAGCTCTAGCTTTTTACGGTATTTTGTAGAAAGCTAAGCTGTATACTGTTGAGTAATTGCAAAGTACCAGGAGCTCTTCTTTAGCTCTTACAGAAGAAAGTTCCTATCCTAATTGAGAATGGTTAGGCTGTTTGGGTACGTAGTTGAGAATTTAGCAGGGCCTGTAGCGATAGGACAAGGGGCAATGGTTTTAAACTAAAAGAAGGTAGATTCAGACTAGATAGAAGGAAGAAATTTTTTACGATGAGGGTGGTGAGACACTGGAACAGGTTGCCCAGAGAGGTGGTAGATAGGTATTGTCAGGACAGGAAACCTGAATTTAAGGAACTGAAGTACATGTGCATAAACACATCCTTGATTAACTGTTTTTTTCCAAACAAAATAAACATTGAAAATAGCAGCCTTCTGCAGTATTTCCACAGTTTTCTGACAACCACTCGAGAAGGTAATATGTATTATTATGCATGTTTAATTCAAATAGGAGATGAACTCAGAAAATTTATCAGCCATTCAAAAGCCTTGCCACAACTATATTAATAGGCATGGGCAACTGGAAAGGCATAAAAAACCCACAAAGGTCTAAAGACTAAAGAGGCATTGGTATATTTTAGAAAAAGACAGTAAAAGAAGATCGCATCATTAAGATAAAAACAGCAATTAAAGAAATAATATGAAATCGTAAGATTAAACAAAAAACATAGCTATGGACAACTCAAAATTGATACAATCTGAAAAGGGGGGAGTAGAGTAATTGTGAAGAACCAGGAGAAGAATAATTAGTAAGAGGAAATTTCATCTAGAAATGCAATGCAAAAAGAAAAACAAAAGAGATTATTGATAGCTTAAAATGACAGGAACAACAGGGTATGGGAAGAGCACATTTTAATGCATGTTAGCTATTTTTTGCCATGCCTATTGTGGTTTCATACCTCTCACAGAGCGGGGAGATTGGCAGAGAACTTGCAAAGATAATAACATTAGAGATGATTGTCCAGATCTTTCAGCACTTTCAGCTTCTCAATTATCTTGTGGGATAGTTATTCTCATTTTATAAAGTAAAAAAAGATGAGCATAAAAAACATGAGCTGTCTCCAAAGATATCTGTTCAGAGATTTTTCCTCCAATGAGTCCAAGCCATTTTAAGCACAAAACTATTCTTTCTTAAATGCTTTCTGATTTTACTGCACTTACTAATATGCTACTCAATTTTAGCAAACTCTTTAAAAAAAACCCAAAAACCCCCAAAAAACCAACAAAACAGAGAGAGAAAAGAATCTCAAATGAGAAGAAACAATATAAGAGGACTGCCGAGTAATGGGATTTTTGCTCTTGTGGACGTACTTTTTGAAGAAAAGCTCATACAGCAGAAGAACTCACTTGGTTAGTGATGGGGCAAGACAAGAATAATGTGTCCTTCTGGTACTGACAAACAGATAAAATTTATGAAAGAGATTTTGAAGTGGAAGGATAGTGTAAAATTAATAGAAATTGAATCAAATTAAGAAGAACAGGAAATATTTAATTTTGACTAGAAAAGAAGGAGAATGCTTGAAATTACTACAATTCTTCTGCCTGTGACACTTTGACTTCTGTGCACACGTATTCCATGGACACACATGAAAAGCAACTGAACCTCAAGAACAAATGAAAAGTAAGACACCATAAATAAGAACATACACAGCTTATTCATGACTGCTAGCTTTTCCAATTTTCTAATGTGGAAGGGGGCACTGAAATAAGGAGAGGAGAAAATGCAAAAAAATAAAGACCTTCCTTTCTCTTCTTTTTGAGATTTATCTTGAATATCATTAAAATCAGACACAGCCACTTGCTTCATACAGTAATGAAGGGGACTTTAACACAAAGCTGGCGCTCAATAATTTGTACTCATGTAACACTTGTTTGCAAGATGGGCAGTCAATCATGTTCATCTTCAGCAACTGATAGACCTCCACGCACACTATGTACTTCAACTGTGGCAGCTGCTAACCTATTTCACACAAAAGGAACCTGGTAATTACAGCCTTTGAAGTGCTATTCCCTCAGCAGGAAATATGTTCAGCATATTATCTTCTTTATGCACTTACTGCCTCTCACTTCTATTTTCTAGGACAGACTTACATTCTGAAATGATTATTTTAATTCCTTGTTTGGCTCTGCTTATTTTCTTGCAAGTTGTGTCTGTTTATTCCATGCTTGGTTTTCCTCCCTGGCCGCCATCTGGGTTGTGCACAAAACCCAGATAAGCATGCCTTCCAGAAGGCTCCAGAGGCATAACGGGAAACGTCATCATCAGGAGCATCATCACAACTGTGCCACAGCTGTGTCTGCAGCACATGCATACTTACACAGAGTTTGGGCTGAGGATGGCATGTGCAGATTCAGTTATTGATACTAATTCTTCTCCATTACATTTCTACCCTGCAAAATGGGAGATAGCATGAACTGTTTTGGGGGCCAAAGGGGAAGCTGATTTTTATCTGCATGATTTTGTAGCTTGCTTCCCCTTTCTATGTTCAGCCTTTTGTTTGCCCTGGACGGTGTTTGGAAAGAGATCAGATGTAGATTTTGATGATAAGAATTTTTGTGATCGGAAGCATTTAAAAACCACTAACTCTAAAGTCTAACTACTCAGATACTGAAATATGAGGTTTCCCAAGGCTTTTAGGAGTTTATTCTTTCAAGAAGATGCTATTGGTCTTTACAGAAAGCACTTAAGAGATCGAGCACGACAGTTTCCAAGCATTTACAAAACTTAGCTCTTTCTTCCTATCTTATAATTTTGTTCAGTTTACTGAGCATTTCAGTGCCATGTAGCTGCATCACCTAAAGACCCATTTCTCTTTTTAGATTAATTTTCCTCCAAGGTGTGTGCAATTCATAAATATCCTACCCTTGATTTCTCCTTTTCCTCCCCTCAAAATCCTTTTGCTTTCAAGCATTTCTATTTTATTGTCATTTACAAAGGTATAAGACATACTTTTCTTGTATTAATAAAAACATTAAGCCTAACTGTTAAAGCTCAAAACCAGATTTGGTATAGAATTATCACTAAACATTTAAGTGACAATTATGCCACCTGATATATATCAGAAGTCTTCAGAAGAGATCATTAACATTTGCCTCTTCTGTTTGTAGCTCAAGTTTCTGACCTTGTCATTGACTCCATGAGAAGCTCTATGGAAAAAGACGAAACAAATGTCTGATTTGAAGTACGGATATTTAAGGACAGAACTGTGATTTGAGGATGTTAAAGGAAAAGGATGAAGAATCAAAGCAGCAGTCAGCACCGTCTCACAGTCGAAAGGCTACAGATGACAGAAATTACACTTTTGCTAGACTCAAAACTCATGTCAGCACGCAGTTTTGATATGCTGTAATATAAGAACATGAGACAGCAGCTTACGCAGTGCTTAGAAAAACACCATAATCCTCTTACCGGTGACACAGGAAAAGAGAGCAGATTTATGCTGGAGGGAACTAGATCTTCTCTTTTTGGCAAGCATTCTTGAATCGCTTGGTTCATATTTTTCAGCAGTAATAAACATTTTATGCAACTTGGGATTTATGCCTTGTGGAATCATACGTGGGCTATGCTGGTAAAAATGAAGCATTTTGTTTCCTGAAATAGCTTTGTGGATGCTCCTTTTGTTAGACTGGCTTTGATTGTAAGTCTGCAAAAGAGAGGAGAAATCATAAGTTGTTGGATTGTTTTTTCACATAACTTGATCAAAAGTAAAGGAACACCCGAGTGTCTGTGGGGTTTGTCATTATTGTGTGTTCCATCATCAAGATGCTTTTTGTTTTTTTTCTTTTCTTCCCCAAACACAACTAAAACAAAATATGATGCAAGACCCTGAGAGCCAACCATATTCCCCCTTCTGTGAAAATCGTCTCTTAGGTCAACATAACTGCTTGTGCAAGTTCTTGAACTGCAAGTTCTTGAACTGCAAGTTCAAGACTTCCAGTATGCCTCCACATTATGGTAACCGAAGCAGAGAGAGCAAAGGAACAGAAGGACATAGATGAAAACAACAAAGCAATAAGGTCGTATTGAAAATCTGATAATGAATACATTAAAACATAGCTACTAAGTTTGGGGTTTTTTTCTTTTTTAAAAAGCTTCCATACTAAAATATCTAAGTCAAATTAAATTTGAATTATCATCGTTTTGTGCCTAGGTAAAACATTCAAAGCAAACGTAACAAAAAGCAAGGAAGTACCAAAGAACAGTGATTGTTCTTTAAGTTGCAAATGATACAAAATACAAAACAATGTACAGCTTTTTACACTCTGTAAATAGATCAGAAGTAGGCACAGCACTTGAGAGAAAAAGAAACACAGCCCTTACCTGGGGGAATTTACAATCTGCAGTAGATACAGGGATGATGTAAATTAGTTTACATCAGAAACAAAGAAAGGAGATCAAGCAAAAAAAGGCGTAAGATTATTTGTTAATGTCATACATGCTCCAAATCCTTTTAATTACACTCCATTTTTACTGTGCAACAGAGAAACCAAAACAAAGATGGAGAAATTAAGGAAAGAAACTGGTCCTCGCCTCTGAACATTTCTTGTCCTAATACTCTTCTCTGAGTCTCTGTTACAGGTCACCGATGGAGACAGCGTGCCCAGTTAGGCAGACTAAGTGCCCTGAGTATGACAGTATGGCAGCTATGTTCTGTTGAGAGAGATGATCTTTGGAAGCCAGGATTAGAGGAGACAGACACAAAGATGCTCTCCACATAAAACTGGAAGAGGTTAACGGCTAGCTCTATTATACCGTCCCTCAGACATTCCAATAAATCTCTTTTAATCCTAGAACAGGCAAAAAAGTCTTTTTATGGAAAAAAAATTATATTACCAAATTCATTGCTTAATGGAATTGTTACTTTGCTGTTACTGAGACAGTATGTTTCCTTTTCCTTTGTTTCACAGAGAGCGTCAGCTTGGCCTGACAGGAGCCTGAGAGGCTGTGAGCTCCCCTGTGCCCTTCTCTTGTATCGGTTTAAATCTGCAGCTAACAGCCGCCTTCCAGGCTGATGCACATGCAGCTGAGCTGTCACAAGACGTTAAAAAACCCTAATCAAAACACAGCACATCTCGGAATATGGCCGAACTAGAAAGGCAGAAGATTCACAAGCCGAACGCTCAGGGAACCCAGGGCATTAGCAGGGTGAAACCGCGTGACGTGTGCTGCACCGCTGAGACACAGCGTGCTTCCACGGGGGACAGCTGGACTGAGCGGGGAAACACATGGGGAGGTGAGGACCGGAACAGAGTAATAAACACTTTTGTAACAGAAATTCCTGCCAAACATCAAACTTCCAGACCTGCATTTCCCAATTTTTCCCAATAAAATTTCTTCAAAAGCTTTATAATTGACTTGAAGTTGTTTGATTTTTTAAAAAAGAAAAACAAATTCCCACAAATTAATAGGAGAGCATTAATTACTCAGCTGAAAGTTATGTGATGGGGAAGAATCTCCACATTAACAGATCTGGAAGGAGACTCAATCAAAAATCTCCACATCAGATCTGGAAGGCGACTCAATCAAAAAAAACCCAACAAAAAACCCACCCCCACAAAAATACCCAAGCAAAAACAAACAAACAAAGCCAATATTGTTCAGCAATTAAATTTATTTCATGATCTCAAAACAAAAAAAATTATATAAAATTACTCTCCTACCTGGGGGAAGGTTCTGCTTCAAAATCAAAAAAAACCCAACAAAAAACCCACCCCCACAAAAATACCCAAGCAAAAACAAACAAACAAAGCCAATATTGTTCAGCAATTAAATTTATTTCATGATCTCAAAACAAAAAAAATTATATAAAATTACTCTCCTACCTGGGGGAAGGTTCTGCTTCAAAGATTTCTGAGGAAATCTGAAGAACACAGTAATCCAACTGCCTAAGTGAAACTCCAAGGAATTTAAGGGACCATTTTAATATCCCATTACAGAGCAGAGCTTTCAGTAGTAATCAGTCTTCATAAGCAGCATGAGAAAATATCTATTTACATATACCATTCACTTTTATCATTTTTAACTCTCATCCCTTCAAAGCAGCTTTTTTCCCTCAGGCAGGATTCTTTGGACCCTTATTTAGAATTAAATCCCTGCTACCTACAAATTTAAACCAGAGGCACAACATCAAATGGAATAAATGAAATAATAGCAAGACGCAAATATTGGGTTTACAATTAGCTTACACAGATCTCAGGCTTCTCTGTTATGAAACCTGATCCAACTCAGAACCAGCCTCGCAAGTGAACGAAACCAGCGAAGAACAAAATCAATTTTCAGCCAGAACAGCGAGAAGCACCCTAAAAATGGCTTGCATTCCAACAGGGGTTGCACGATGAAACTGTAAAGATGCAGGTTCATATTACTCTGCAACCAATCTCACCAGTGAGTGATGTCAGCAGGGACTTCCTTGCCTCCTCCTACCTAAACCCTGCCCTGCCAGCTTCCTTGGATCAGACCTAGCAATCGTGTGGCTGCGGGATGAAGCTGGGCAGTGTGCTGGTACAGCTGAAGGTCGGTTCTCCCGGCTCACAACTCATGGCTTAGATTTCCACTGGTACCTTAGTTTCCCAAGGGGCAGCCTGCACTCAGAGACAATTAATTATACTCTGAGTTGAGTGCTGAGGTTCAGGAATTTAGCAAAAGTAGATTTCCGCTTAAGCTGATCTCTTCAGACCTCACACGTAAGTCTGCTACCACTAAGTACTTGTCTGAAAGCACAGTGTCATCAGCAGTTCAGAGTGAGACGCTTCCAGTCCTCCCGCTCTCAGAGCTCCATCCCTATCTCTTCCACATGTTGTTCTGCACCCTTGGCAAAACCCCTGTATTTTCTGAGTTTCAGTTTATCATTTACGAAATAAGTGTTATTAAGAACAAAGCCTTGAAGCCCTTCACATTGAGAAAGTACACATATTTTTAGAACATTGTGGGCTATTATACTTTCCTGTAGGGACAGTTATAAAGCTGCTAGGAGCGCTCAGGATTGCTGTGATTTTTAATACACAGTATATAGTTTCCTGGAATGGACTAAACAAGTCACTTTGTTTTCCCAGTGAGAAGAAAGCTACACACTCACCCGTTCCTCCCGCCCTTCGGCGAGGATGACAACGATCCTGCCTTGCCGCCTGCGCCCCGTTCGGCCCATCCTCTGCACAAGGCGAACTGGACTTTTCTGGGCGTCAAAGCAGATGATGAGATCAACTTCTCCAATGTCTAAGCCTTCTTCCCCAACACAGGTAGAGACCAGAGTGTTATACCCACCTTCACGAAAGCGTTTTACCACCTGAATAAACGATTCAAATTAGATTTAACAGGTTAGCCAGAAAGCCCCTTATACACACTTGGCAGTTTTTCTAGGTTCAGACAGAAGTTGAAAAAATTAATTTATATTTTAAAACTACAGAACTTAGTCTTTCTGAATTTGTCAACTACTACCTCGTGATCAAATACCACGCACTAATGTTATCAACATCAACATATCAACTCTTCAATTCTAAAATAAAGGAAAAAAAGCACACCTTATTCTGACTCCAACCACGGCATTCTTCTAAAATTGATCTTCCCAACTTTGCAATTAAATACTTCTTTTTTTAAACTTTGCAAGTTCAAAATTTAAAGGATATATTTTATTTTTTCTGCCTACATGAGTAAAAAAAATCCCTATAGCAAGTATTTGAATATTTCCCCAGATTTTCAAATATATAAAAGTTAGCAGTTGTTAATATAATTTAAATATATAAAATATTTCTACTCATACATTCTGTTCAGTGAGTATAATTTTGGCTAATCTGAAAGCAATTGAACTACACAGGAATTTACTAATGACACTTTAAAGTTCAGTCACTGCCATACAATCTATATAGTTACTCATATAGTTATTTACACAATTAATTCTCTTTATCATTATTTCCTAATACAAGTCTCATCTTTTCTTTACCTCAAGTTGTTCCTTTTGTGTGAAGCCTTTTGTGCTCTTTCCTGTGGAGTGGCCAACAAATGTCATTACTCTAACAACTGGACTGAGCCGGAAAAGCATTTCTGCAATTTCTTGCACGCTATCTCGAAATGATGAGAAGATCATCACTCTGGTATCCACAGCGTCCACAGATATGCTTTCAGTCGTGACTTGATCTATTTAATTTTAAAAAGCCAGAAAAACATTTTCATGCATGATTTTAAAATAATTATGAATAAAAAAAAGTAAGGACAGGTCATCCCATCAGCTACACATTCACAGCTCTCATCTCACTTAATGGGAAGATTTTGTCCAAGAACACTGCATTTTGATTTTTTTCAAAGAAATTTTCTTTAAAAGAAATTTCATTTAAAAAAACCCCAACACCTAAATCAATAAATAAATAAAAAACAGTAGAGAAAACTGACAATTACCAGCCTCTCAGCCTATTTAGACCAACCTCCCAGAAAACGCTCAGAGATATACCGGCTCAAACAACTCCTCTTTGGAATCAAAGCAGTTTTCTAATTTTGGAGAATTTACACCAACTAATGGTGAGAATGTCTTATATCTGAGGTACCATTACTAATGTTACTTTGAAAAGCTGAGGTTTGATGGCAGGTGTCTTGAAATAAAGTTTAAGATGCCTTCTTCCAAAGAGCCTACAATGTGACTTTTAAATCTGCTACTTGAATGCCCAGAGCCAGATGAGGTTAGCAATACATAGCAATAAAAACACTATTACCATTAGTTTAGGATACAGCATGGTGGAGTAAAAGAGATATGTATCAGCTTTCTATGGTTTACTACAGAAAGCTGCCTCTAGTTCTACAGCTCAGGATCCTCACAACAGCAGAAATGTGCAAGAACTTCCCTTAATACCCTAATCTGTTGCTTCTGAATGATCTGCCATCACAACTGGTATACCTCTCATTCCAATAGCAAAGATAACCTTTCCCTTTTCTTTGAAAGGAAAAAATAATTGCATTGATACATGGTTTTTTAGCAAGCTGCCTTTGACCAAAACCACATTTCTTATGTTATACCATCACGGATTTTATCTTCTGAGTACTCAACTTCTTTTTTTTTAAACATATAAGGGTATCTGCCTTCATGAGCACAAGCAAAAGCTATCTAAGCAACATGCAAGTCTCGAACAGTCAGCTTCTCTTTATCCGATCCAAATACTAAAACAACATGCCCATTACTGCATGCTACGAAGTAAAAATCTAGTATGTTAAAAAAGAGAATCTCTAAAAGGGTATCATGAATTACTGAAATCGGCACAGATTGCATGCATTACCTAGACATAGCCCTCAGATGAAACCGATTAGATTTCTAGGGATAAAGATCTCCTCTTCTACATAATTCTCCACAAAACACCTTTATCCCATTAAAAGAAAGGTTTAGACAAGGAATTAAAATTCTCAAGACTGAATGTGTAAAACCGTGTTTCCCTGAACATAGGAAGAACAGTCACTTGGTACTTCACAGCAGTTTCACGCTATGCCTGTAATTCCAGTATCAAACTGTTTCTTGAAGTTAAAGCTCTTTCTTGAAGTTAAAGCATTAAGCATAACAGATAAAGTATACATATCTTTCTGATCAACTATCAGAAATTCTGGTTTAGTTGTTAGTTGTGCATATCTACATGCAGAAATGCTTTCAGCAGCTTAAGTCAAAAAGGAGAAGCTGAAGCTAAACATTTTCCCCATTTCTTTTTAAGATGAGCCTTGAATTCACAGGTAAATTATGAAGATGGCTGCCTCTGGTCAAAACAAATTTTACTCTTGAGGCTGACAGCCAAGGAAGTTAGACAAGAGAATCTCCAGAGGTCCCTTCCAACTAGCCTAAATTATTCTATGCTATTCTACTGCACCGTTTCAGTAAACTGCAGGCGGTATGGGAGGTCATCTGTCAAGTACAGAAACCAGTCCCCAATGAAGGCCTAGAAATGAAATGGTGAATATGATTCAATATTTTTAGCTAGAAACCAGACAACTGCAGCACTGATATAATGTGTTCTGCATAATTTGCCATCTGAGCAGACCGACAAGCTATATATTTCAGAATAAGTGCAGGTTGGATATATCTCACTCACATGAGTTCATATTATTCTCCTCCACTAACTTTATTCTGAACAACATTATTCTATATCTATTTTTAGCATATTCTCATAACTTGAATAGCAATAATGCTCAGTAGCATCTGTCCCTGTATTGTAAAAAATGTTGTACTGCTGCCATTACCTCCTTGACCTTATCCAAAACCAGACTTAGAAAATTCAAGACGTTAGCAGCCCATAATCAATCTGACAAGTAATCCAGGTATGGAAGATTAGCTGGGAGAAGCTCATCATGCTGAGCCAACATTTCTTAAGGACTGGCCAGAACGTTATTGTGCACTTACCTGAATTGCTGGTAAGTGCATCTTGCAAAGCAGGGGCAATAGCTATGTGGTCAGGAAGCTCAAACTCAACCTGGTTGATCACTAGTTAGAAATGGTTCAGAGTTTGCATAGGCAACTTGGCACTACTCCCCTAAGTTCTCATATGAGAGGTTTCATTCCAAACGGAGTAAAAAGCTGTTGTTGTTCCTGGTATGGCTAATGACTTAGGTTATTAATGCTCTCCTTTTCCGTCTCAAATGTAGGGCTTTTCAAGGAAAATGCTTTGCAGAAGTAGTTATTGGTTTTAAAAGTTAAACAGGCATGAATACAGTAAATTATGATTCAGAGTAGTTCAATAATGCATAATTGGAACAAAGCAGAGTTAAGTTCAGGGGCTTTGTTTGCTTGGTTTTTTTTTACCTAGAGATAGTACACACTTGCATGAGCTCCTGAAACAAACGCTGAATTTATTTTCCACTGCTCACATAATGATTTAGGCTTTTACTTCAGAGCCTTCTGATGGAGCAAAGATACATGTGATTATGTTTGGAATCTTAATAAGTACTCAAGTTTTTATTGACAGACTCATGACAAATTCTTGTCTGGAGGAGGGAGAAATCAGGACATGGGTATGTACTCTATTCAGTCAGAGTCCACAACCAGAATTTAGGGTGTAGCTACTTGCATACATGTGAATTTAGAGTTTACTTGCAAGAAACAGGGAGTAAGGGTAGAAATACAGGTTTGGGGTTATTGCTCAAAAGGTATCATCAGAGACACTATGGCACAGTGAATAATAAGGCAAATGAATAAAATCACAGTGTCTCACTATTTCTGTCAACTGTCCAGCACATTTAGGTTGAAGATGCATAAGCTTAGGAGACACAAGCTGGAGCCTACTACATTCCCTAAGTTACTGGAATGCCTCCAACTTTGTGATCAGACTGCGAATTGTAAAGTGCCTTCTAGCCTTGTATTATACACAAAGATTTCAGGATCAGTTGTTTGTACTTGCTTTAAATTTAACTACATGCATCTAGAGAACTGTGTTCAGGACACTGCTTTATATTCCCCATGGCCTTGCCTTGCATGTTAGTTATGAGGATAAAGGAGGTTACAGGAATCAGAAGCAAGGAAGGACAGCAAGAAAACCTAACACACCTAGCTCAAGATATGACTAGATATGCTACCACAGCTCACCACTTGTGCTGTAAAAGATTATGTATTTCTTCCTGCACAGTTACTGTAATTTTGTATTTATAACCATAAAGACTTAGGGTTCATGCCTACTCACTTCTGAGGTTCATGCACACGGACACAAATCACAACATCAAAAAATTTGTATATTAATTACCTGTTAGTAATATTAAGAGACATGTCTGACCAACACTGCAAGGAAATACATATCTGATGGGATTCATATGACAGCAAAATCCATGCTATCAAAAGAAGATGGAAGAGTATTAAATATGAAAGTTAGTTAAAGTAATTCCAGCACAGAATACAGAATTTGAAAACAAAAGGCAATAGCTTAGAAAGATGTTACAGACAGAAAGAAGTATGGATGGGAAGGGGGTTAGAGGAGGGGGATAGGGGGGGCAAAAAAAAAGAAAAAAAAAGTAATTTGATTAAATGCATTTGGACTTAGTATAAACTAACAAAAATAGAAATGAGGAAACTTAAAGTTGCCTAGACTGCTACTAGAAAGCAGCAGTCATTTAAAGTGTATTCTGAGAATCAAGCATCTAAGATAGAAAAAAAACCAAAACAAAACAAACAAAAACCCCCAAACAACCACGGAAATGCAGGTCAGAAATAATCAGAACTTCACCGAGCACAAAGATCCAAACAGAGGAGGAAAGAAAGTGAAGAAGTTGCAAAAAAAATTATTGTTACTGATGTCATCGTTCCAAAAGCAACAACTGGATCAAGAAGGTGAAACTTCCTAAAACCAGAGATGTCTGAATGATTCATAATATTTTGCTTCATAACCTCATGCTACTGTATGACAGATTTTTTCCTCCCTTTTGGTCAAGATGAAAAAGAATGAGAGAAAGATGAATGTAATTGAGGGTTTTAAACTTCAAATCCATGCCTCAGAGTTTGTCATTCTTAGCAACAGGCTGGATATCAGAACTTTTATCCTTAAGCTCCATAACTACGTTGCATCTAACTTTGCAGGAGATACTGGTGGCACTGCACTGAGAGATGGTTTCCAGAACAAATTCTGTGACTATGAAAATCATGAGACATAGTAGCACTAGGAATGAGTTTGCTATCACTGTTTTACTAAGCTGGTAGAACAGTTTATATCAAATTAATAATGATAGCTTACAGAATGTTTTTTCTTAAAGCAATTTTATGGTATAGTTCTTCTAAAGAGGACTTTCCCACACAGACGATGCACGAACATACAAGACAACAAATAAGCAGTTGAACAAATTAGGAAATAAATCAGTAAGATATCATTCTTTTTCATCCACAGGTTCAACTGTTCAGATACGTTTTCTTTGAGTTGTTGGTACATACCAGAACATCCCTTTTTCCAGGATTTGAAGTGTTCTATTACAATTTCCTCCAATTTCCTTAATTTTGGATGGCTATAGATAAATTCCTTTTTATTTTCAAACACTGAAAAGGAAATAAAGCAATTAAAGATATAAGTAAAGATGTAAGTAAACCTGCAACAAGTATGAAGGTTTAGTGAATTTCATTTCCTCCCATTACAATTCTCTAAGTCAGACATACACATTCCTGACACTAGTTCTAATTGTATTCACCTAAACAAACAAATCAATAAACTACTTACAGAAGCACATTTGTTAAACCCAGTTTTTGAGAAAGTGGTGTTACTTTTGTTACAGTCACACTGTAAAAGATATATAGTCAAACAGTAATATTTTAACCTTTCATTTTAAATCAAATTAAAAGCTTCAAACATAGAAAACTTGTTTGAAGGTAGCTAAAACCACCGAAAGAAAATAGATAGATAAATAAATAAATAAATAAATGTATGTCTGGGGAAAACACTCTGGAAAAAAGCATACTAGCTGAGTGTATCACAATGAATAGCTTCCTGCATCTACAAACTACGTAGAGGTATCTACGGTTTCATTTACACAGAAAGTAAATACTCTGTCCCTAAAAGGGAAATACTGACCTGTTTTACTCTTGTAAACATTTCCATTCGCTGAATCCAGAGATGTGTCTGAAAACGTGTCTCTAAGCTGCTGATATAGCTTCATGAAGTCCTCATTACGACCAAGTTCATTCTTCGTACGGGTTAACCCTTTGTAAAAAGTTGAAATATCTTAGTGTTTAATCTCCGGAGTGAATATAATTTTTGCTATCTAAAAGACAAGCTTTCTCAGAAGTAGCAAGCTCCTTTCAAGAGCTGAAAGATACACGTTAGCGTTAGAAAATGTAATAGACATTGTTTGGCATCAATATTTTTTCAGGGAAGATGCCATTATAGAATTTAAACATGAAAACATGAATGTAAACGTGAAAAACGTATGTATAAACAGAAGCCTGGTCCTGTGTGTAAACTAAGAAGTTTTACATCAACCATTTAGCACTAGAAAAGCCATCCAATCCAGAAACGTTGAGGGTAGTGAGACACTGGAACAGGATGCCCAGAGAATCGTGGACGCCCCATCATTGGAAGTGTTTATGGTCAGGTTGGACGGGGCTCTGAGCAACCTGACCTAGTGGAAGGTGTCCCTGCCCACAGCAGGGGGGTTGGACTAGATGATCTTGAAGATCCCTTCCAACCCAAACCATTCTGTGATTCTATGAAGTGCTGGCAGTTACTCAGAGAGGGGAACCTAGACGAAAAGCTAGAATTAACAAGTTTCTTGAATGATTTTATGTCAATGTTGAGAATAATTTTGTTCTACTCAAACCAGAAATCAAACTTATCAGAACCAGTACAGAAGACCTATTTATTAGAACTATTTTCCGTCAGTCATCTTTCAGGCAGTTGGACTAGATGATCGTTGTAGGACCCTTCCAACTGAAATATTCTATTCTACTCAAATATTCTATTCTATTCAAAAGCAGACAGGGATTTAAGGAATCTGAGAAACTAGGAAATACATGAAGTGCTCTCCGGTGCCTCGGTCTAACAGAAGCACTATACCATCAGAAATGTAAAAATCTGCACATGTGAAAGTAATAAATTGTAAAAATGTCAAAAGCATAAAATTAATGAAAAATTATTAGCACATGCATACTATAAAAATATATTCTATAGATATTCTATAATATGAAGCAAGCACTGTACACTTTTGGTTCAGACGTAGGACAAAGCAGTGTAATTTTAATTAAGCAGTGCTGTAGGCGAAGTAGCTTTTGTAAGTTACCACTCAGTAGTTACACAGCTAAGTGTAAACCAAAATGAAGCAAGAAACACAAGAGGCACACCATGGGGTAACCTGAACAGCTGGAACCTTCCCCTCCCACATCCAGTGTTTAGAAGACACTTGCTGTTGGGCTGACATTACCAAGTGGAAATTTTCCCCCTCAAAAAAGATGTCAGTACCAAACCAGGTCTTCCAGATAGCAGTGACAACCCACTGGGTCTAAAAATAACTGTGGAGAATTGCAAAAGACTCACAATAGTCAGTGATAGAATTAGGAAAATAAACTGAGACCAGAACAGAAAACAGCTTTCTATTTTGCTTAGTGAGCATGGACAATGTTGCACAGCTAGGATAGAAATTCTAGTGTGATGTGTCCAAATCTGTAATCTTCTGGCAAAGACACTTAAGACTCATGCATACATGAGTTTTGCTATAGGGGGAGGAATTGCTTTACAAGACCAAACAATTTCTCATTTTAAATTGTTCAATGGTTATTCTCTGTCTGTCCGGAGATATTACTGCCACTTACTCTGAGTTTGTGCCTTATTTTGTTCAGAATTGCTGCCATATAAACACATTTGCTTTCCCAAATATACTGTCTTTAACATTGTGCTAACGTATTTCCAATAGGGATGAAGGGGAACAAAATAGCAATTACGTTTGCAACCCAACCCTTACATAAGCTGTTTTGTGCAAAACTAGCCATACAGATGAGGTAAATTAAATGAGAAGGAGTGGAGACAAAAGGAAGGATGTTTCTGAAGACATTTCACCTTTTGATCCATCCATAATTCCACAAAGGTAGATAAATAATGACCGTGTTCCCATTTGCAGCAGCAGCTCATAACCATGATATAAACTGATACAAAGTGCAAAATCTCCTTCAACTATTCCTTGATGCATTCCCTGTGAAAACAAGATAGATGCATCATTAAATTAGGAAGTCAATAAGCAGCAGGAATCATACTGCAATTCCTATGACAAAAAAAAAAAAAATTGACATCTGAGAAATAGAGCCAAAGCACAAACAAATGCACAGTGAATAGTCTGTCTATCAAAACCTTCAGGAAGCAGGTTACACAATTCTTAATGATCAATGAAGGCAATCTTTTTCCACCTTCAAGATGGATGATCTCCTACCTGTATTATCTTTCAAGATTAGCTCATTACTTTCTGATGTAGCAACAAACAAATAATAGTCTGTCTATCAAAACCTTCAGGAAGCAGGTTACACGGTTACACATGATCAATGAAGGCAATCTTTTTCCACCTTCAAGATGATCTCCAAAATTGACATCTGAGAAATAGAGCCAAAGCACAAACAAATGCACAGTGAATAGTCTGTCTATCAAAACCTTCAGGAAGCAGGTTACACAATTCTTAATGATCAATGAAGGCAATCTTTTTCCACCTTCAAGATGATCTCCAAAATACCTGTATTATCTTTCAAGATTAGCTCATTACTTTCTGATGTAGCAACATGCAAAATCTGACAGCTGAACCATCCACCATTTGGCAAAATTTCCAGCATGTCTACCCAGGCTACAAAATTTGTCAGGAAAGTTGTCCTGTCTACTGTGAAGTGTATTTCCCAATGTTCTTTTTAAGCTACACGGTCTTTTCTTTTTTTTTTTGCTAATATTCTTTTTTTAAGTTTGCAAACTTTGAACACTCCATGACAATTTACAGAAAAATAGGAGCAGTAATGTAGTTTTGAGGGGGAAAGTGTAAATTTGGCAGTCAGTAATTACAATCTAAGTTCTCAAAACAATTTCAGTTTGGAAACCGAGTTCTTCATCTTTTCCTTAACTTTCCTATATTAGCATTAAGAAATGTGGAGCAAGTGGGCATATTTTATTCCAGGGCTAAAAACAGAATATTACAAAGGAAATCTAACTTAAAATGTATCAGGAAACTTTGTACACTATGGAGTATTACTATTTATTCACTACTTTAATAACGTGAAATAAAGAAAGACGTTTACCATATTTTGTGAAGACGGGTTTTTTCTATATTGATCTCTTGCTAGAATTATCTGGTACTTTGTAAGGCTGGGAATATCCCGCCTTCCTAAAACTCCTATTTTAATCAGGCGTCCAGCAAATGTTTCTAGCACCTGTAATCAAAGCACAGAAGTATACAAGAGATGTGAAGGTATCTGTATTTAGCCCTTTTAAGTAGTTTTATTTTTACAGATCTTACACAACAGAACACAAGCAGCTCACTGATTTTATTTGAAACATAGAATTTTTCACATCAGACTGTACTGATTTCTGAATAATTTGTTACTGAGCCAGGTGACAACATGGTGCTCTGCCTCACCGTAAGGTTCTCCACTATCAGGATGTTTCTAGCCTAATTTTCAAATTTTTTCCAAGACCAGCAGAATTTTCACAACTTGGTTCCCTAAGGATTTGTGCCCTCCATCCTACAGACACCCTCCTGCCCCCAAGATAACCCCATATCCATCAAATAACTGAGAGGTTACACCGAGTAACACACACTGTGCTTTTGTAATCACACAAGTACTGACCGAGCAGAGAGGAAACGAAACAGGACGGGTAGCCAGCTACTGAACTCATGCTGCAGCTCCCTCTCTTACTGGTAACCCTAACTTCAATGGCGTTTCAGTCTCAGGAGAACTTGTATTCATCTTTGAGAAGTCTAAATTACCGCAGGCGGAAGACTAGCCAACAGGTTAGAAAGTTGTGTGTGGAAAGGATGGGAGTTGGGAGACGTGAGCAGAGAGGAATGAGCGCCTGGCAGATGGGCCTGGCACAGCAGCATGCCCCATCTCCTTCGGAAGCCAAGCCAAAAGACAATTTGTTTTTATACATCACATGTACCTGCTTTCCACATCAGTGAAACAAGGGAACTGACCTGCACTAATTCATCTTAATCCTGTTTTTCCTCTTTGTTTCTCAGCCTTAGGTGGTCAGGATTTTTTTCACGGACTTAGTTTTGCATGAGCACTAACTCTGTAATAATTGGAGTAATCAGATTTGTTCTACAAAAATTACTTACAATCTGTTGGCCCACTTGGCTAGTAGCACGAAAAACATCTTAGTACACAATAACGAGCTTCTCCAAAGGCAGTCTCGACTTAGTTTGACAGCAAATAGTTCCTGATAGCTGCTGACATGCATACAGTGTTTCCCAAGCTTTCTGGGCATTTTAACACCAGTTCAGCTGAACTGCACTAAGGAGGCTATAGCATAACAAATGCCTAATCCCTTTATTACTGTTCTTTCAGCCCACTGAAAATCAAGTCCAACTGAACCAATAAAAACAGGCCTAACTTTCAGGCCTCAGACAACACTGATCTAAGTATGTCTTCAGCTTGCAAAGACAAAATGCCCTAACATGGAAAGACAGACAACTGTAAAGGTGCAATGTTGTGTCTATACACGAAGTAACAACACTCCACTTGTCCTCTTCACACATTTAGTGTATGCCGGGTTTTTAGACCCTGTTAGGATGCACAAATATTATTAGCCACCACACTCTGCTCATACCCCATCAATGCAGTGGCAGCTTAGTTTAACTCTTTCTCTCTGCTTGCTTTGATTATTTTTATAGTTTGGTACTTCTTTAGCTTCTTACTCTGTACAATGCCTACGTGGCATTAAGTGGCAAATCCTGAGAAAAGGGGTGGGAATAATTGCCATCATCAACCACAGCAGCATTAATCCCCCAAAGAATCAAAAATGCAAAGAGAACTTTGGAAGAGTGAAGGAAAACTTGTGAAAGCACCAGCCAAACTGGGGAAACAATGTGCTGGGGAATTTCCACGCCGCCCGCTCGATGCCTGCAGGTCTTTCAAAAACAGCTAGCTGGAGTCAGCAGGCTAAGCAAATAACAACAGATAAAGGCTGCTGAGAAATAATAGAAATGAAGCCTAAATTCTGAATGATGTGGTGCATCTTAGGCTGCTCCTCTTCCCTACCCTGGGCCTTCAGGCTGGAATACCACGTCTCAGGCAGCTTGCTGCTTTTGCTCAGAGGAACCCAGCTCGGCTCATCTGCTCCCGGCTGGAGAGGAAACGGGCGATGCTCACAGGGGCAGCTGGGAGGCCACTGGGAGAATTCCGAGGGCAGGAGGGTGCTGAGGAGCACTGCCCGCTCCGTGTCTCTTGGGGGAGTTGATGTCAGACCAGCTGCGCAGACTGAACGCCCACCTGCGCCAAAGAGCCCCCAGGCACTTCCAATCCCAGTCTTCAGGTTTACCTTTACCTACAGGGAGCCTGGGTCACAGCCCCACACAGCTCCCCAGGCAAAGCAAAGTACAGTCAAGAGACTCCATCATGAAGCATTCCTGCTAATTAAGACTAATGGATTAATTAGACCAAATAAACCACTAACACCACTAACAACAAGCAAACACCAATTGGAAACTACAATATTGCTAGGAATTTCCAGAGAAAAGGAAAAAAAAAATTCAAATAATCTTTTCTTAAAATACAGTCAAAAATATTCACCAAGCTACTTGGAAGTCTAAATGCACAAGAAATTAATTTCTCATATTTGGTTTAGTTTTAAAAGTTTAAAATTCAAAACTTTGTCTTCTAGCAGTTTGTTATTGTTATGTTGTTTGTAAGTCTGGCCTGTACCTGACAAGTCACTTTCAAAGGACAGAGACAGAAATGTCCATACCAGCTTATAAAAAAGGTATTTAAAAAATAAATAAATAAAAATGTTGACCATGCAAGGGATAACTCAGTGCTTTTTACTTTAATGGGATACCACTGAAATAGCACTTCACCCTCCCATCAAACCCGAAACAGTTGGACATAAGGACACTTGAAACGCTGAAGATCAAGCTTAATAGTTTTAGTCTCAAGTAGTGGAAATGGAGTCAGTCTCTGAACACAAATGTTTCTCTAGAAAAGAGATTAATGTTTTCATTAAAAACTAATGCCCACATAAGTATAATATTTCAGCACTGGTTTATTATTTCCTATACTTGTATAGCTTTTAAAAAAAAAAATTTCCATTACATGTACTTTTATGTTATAAACCAGGTCAAGGGATGAAACATGCAAGAAAATTGTATTGTCACTGTCTGCTTGATGTACACCCCTGTCTGATTTAATCACCTTCTGCAAAACAAACCAAGGAAGATTATTATGAAAGACAGCAGGATCCAGTCACCTGGAGCTTCAAAACTAATAAGGAACAGTAAACATAACCTACTTAGAAGAGATACAGAAACAAGCACTACTCAGAGTGATTACATTTATCTTGCCTCCATACCTTTATTTTTAATTAAAAAGATAATACTTCTGGAAAGTCTCCTCAATCTTTCCAAAACATTTAAGCGTTACATTACCTGTTTAAAAACAGAACTGTAGCATTAATTCTAAATTAATTGCTTACTAGGACTCATGGGTCTTTCTAGCTCACTAAATTCGGTTCAAAAAGCTGACGGATTTACTACCAATACATAAAAGACAACCAGTAAAATTATCCCATACTGCACTAAACTTGCCAAGAACATAAAGGTTTTTGCTGAACAAGGTATCTTCCCCAAAAAATCACGCTGATTTTTTGAAGCTTGTACCTGAGGTTAGCTTATGACCTGCCGTTTGGAGCTACGACATTAGCTGAGGACTACCATAGTATAAGCAGAACTGGCAAGGCAAAGAACTGTTACTGTTTCAGCTACGCCTCACTAAAAACTGCTATTAATCTGTTTTCTCTTGGCACAATAAAAAAAACAAAGGCTCTAAACAAATGACCCAGCCTAATTATTTTACTGCAGATTTGCAAGCATTCTTTACCAAAGAAAAACAAGAAATCTCCCACGCATAAATAACTGTTTGTTGTTGCATTTCTTTTAGAGCAGAGAAGGAAGGGTTTGAGAGAAACCAGCCATTAAGTAGACTGTATCTTCACAAAACAAAGACTGAGAAGGTCCTCTTCCATCCACAGGAAAGGCGAAGTGCCAGGAAGTTGGCACAGCACTCCCAGCCTCGACTCTCAGACCTGATCGGGTTTATACAGTCACACTGCACTTAAATAGAGCTGCCATTTCCCTTCATCTCTGTCCCCTGCTCTCCCAACTCACCCAGCTCCAACATTTTCAACGCACAATATGCCACAGACCCCTTCCAAACATGCTGGGGCAGATGCAGAATTGGTGTGCAAAAAATGAGACTACACTGTGGTCGGTGAGGTAACGTCACATCTACAGCTGTGCGGGAATGTTAACGTGCCCCACTGACACATTGGTCTGCCTTAACAAGGGACCACCAAAACCAGGAGTAGGGAAGTTAACACAAGCAGCTCCAGAACACAGATCCAGATTTTTGCTGTGGTCGTGCACCACATGGACATCATGCTGCTCCCGCTCTCTGCTCCAGATTTTCAGATTTTTAACAAAGGGAGCGAAGGAAGACAAGAAAGGGAAAGAGGAGACTTCTTCCAGGCTCTGGCCCCACCACTCAGAGCTGGGAAGGCAGCTCAGAAAGTGTATTTATCACAAGTCTTCACAACAGAGTTGTGATCATACTGTCCTAAGGGAGAGCAAAGAGGTTTTGCAGGAAGGCATGAAAGCAACCAGGGCCTTCTACAGCTCCAGGGAAGAGCAGCCCAAGTGAAGGTTAGATGAAGATCTAAAGCATTCATCGCTTTGTTTTAGCACTGAAACTAGAAAGGTTTGGGTTTCACAAAGTGTGCTACCTTGAGAAGTGTCAGTGCGATAACCTAATATTCCTGAAAGTAACTTCCAGGAGGAAGTCCAAGGAACAAACTGTGTTCAGTCTCTTCCAACTGTAACTCCAGGTTGAGTGAGAAGTCTTGAGATTCCATCAAAAAAGAAAGTACCTGGCGATCCCAGCAGCGATCAGAGAACCAGCCAGCCCCACAGCCGTAGGAGCACGTCTCACGGATGAGTGAGGGCAGCTTGCAGATACCCTTTCACTGACTGTAAAGAAACTTCCCAGGCACACAGAGTACATAAAGTTTACGCACAGAGTGAAAACAGTTTATTGTAACATTTGATGAAGCCTCTAAAATCATAGTATAGTACATCAAAGAAGGGAAGGAGGACAATTATTAACAGAAAAAATGTGGGTTTATGACAGAGAAGGCAAGTGAGGAAGGCATTTGGAGCTAT